TGAAGTTCTAGATTCACTACTGACGCAATATTTTAAACTTATAATGCATTTAGAAACTTAATACGATTTTTTTGTTATTACGAACAAAAGTATTGAAAATGTGTGTATGTGCGTTTGTGTGTAATTGTCCGGTGGTGGCTTTTTTTTGGGAAGAGGGGGGGGGGGGGGGTTGAAATTTGTAGGTCTTTGGAAAAGGGGGTATTTATTGACTCTTTTTCCTTTTTCAAGGTGTAGACTTGAAAAAAAAATAAGAGAAATTCCACTGTTTCCTCACACGTCCCCACCCCCAATGAAAGAAAATTACCATAATTATTACTTATTTATTTATTTTAACATTCCGATGTATTGTTACCAAAGAGATTTCTACTTACGTAGCTTTCGTTTTTGACTGGTAACCGATTTATAAATACGAAATTATGATTTCTCATAAAAATTTTTTTTTTTTAGATCACAGATTAATAATATATAATTTGTACCACTACAATATAATAGTTATTACGGTGAGGTTGAATTTCCGAACATTTATTCATCATCCATGCACGAACTTGTCTCAGAAAAAAATATATCTCTGTACATTAACATTACTTTCAGGTACAGATATGATTTTTTTCTGGGACAAATGCTTGTGACCATCCACAAGAATTTGCGGTCATCCGATGATCAGTACTTCACTACTTTATATCTGTTCTTGTCTATACCAGTTTTCAAGAAAAGGTTTCTCTATAGATAAGTTATCAAGATAATAGCCAATAAAACAACAAAACTCTGAAGAGCCAAAATTGCCCAAAAAGGACCTTTACTATAGAGTTTACTCAGACACATTGCACTATTTGTTTTTTTAAATCTATTATAGTTTCCAGGATAAACGCAAAATATTAAAAGCCGCTGCCGTAAATCTTCACTTTGAAAAATTCAAAATACAACTCTCTATCTATAAGAGAACAACAGGTCTCAGTAAACAATAAATAAATGCAGTGTTTAAGTTCATTTAGACACCAATCTGATTAGATTACAGGTATTGTGTGTTCAAGCTTTGCTTACGCCGATCTGAAAACACTCAATTCAAGACCATTGGGATTCTCTGGTTTTGTCGGATTGATCCACACCTTCAAAAATATGAAGGCTGAAATTTTATTGGCTGATGTAATATTAACCAGGACAGAAAGTAAAACGAAGTGTTGTCAGATCCTTGTAACCAAAGCTTAGACAGATGATCTGTACATTATATATTAATCATTTGTTAGACACCGACTGTAGTGTGGGTAGGGGCACGTGTATTTCCTTGATGGACTTTAATAAAAAAGAACATGGTTATTTTTTTTTTAATTTCATTATTGTTTTATTTTTCCCTGATTTAAAATAGAAACAAACTATTTCGCTCCCCTTCTGAAAATTTAAAATCTCTTTCAAGAAATTTGGAATCAAACATATTCCAAAAATGTTGCCCCCCCCCCCCCCCCCCCCCCCCCCCTCACCAAAAAAAGAGCGGCTTCCCACAAAACCTTTTATATTGCGGGTTACTGCATGTGGTGGTGCTTTCGTGGTAGCATGTTCGCATAGAGTGGGAGAGGTCATCGGTTCGACCCCCGGCCGGGTCAAATCCAAAGACTTTCAAATTGATATTTGCTGCTTCCCTGCTAAGCCCGCGAAATTAAGGAATAAGAGCAAAAGTTGGTCGGCTCGGAATCAGAAGAATTTGTCCGGGTAAGATGACATGTCTTCCTTCGGAAAGTTACCTTGTGAACTAGCATGTTAAAAATCCGGCTCAGGGTGTCGGTCTAGTACAAAGCAGGGTTAATATTCATATCACATTACAGCTATTTTCCTAATGTGTGTAGTTTAAAGGTTTGATTGGCTTGATTGCTTTGTTTTTATAACTGTTTGCTCATGCATTTTAATTAAGTTTTACAACTCTAATCAACAGATAGGCTGGGTTTCAGCTTGTATGATGTTATTGAATGCTTGAACAAACATTTATACAAATAAAGCAAGCAAGCAAACCAAACCTTTTAACTACATACATCAGGAAAATAGCTGTAATATGTTCTTGTACGAATATGCATATCAATTTGCCGCTGCACATCAAGCATCCATCCATAACCATCTATATTGAAGTTGTGAAATATATGCACGAAAACATAATAAAAAGCTGAAAGCAAATGAAAAACACCGAGTTGAAGTTCATTCTATATCTCCTTTAAAGCATTTCGGATGAAAGAGATTGGCGCTTGCTGGTCTAGTGGTGTGAATAGTCGAACTACTGTATCACTTGTCTGTCGACACTTAGGTGTGTGAAATCGAATACCGCATGTGGCAGGTAAGCTCGACTCCTATCTTAATTGACCAGAATTGTCAGTTTTCCAAACGAAGGTTGGGTGGTCTCTCTGGGAACTTCGGCTTCCTCCACCAATATAAACTCACCGCCACGAAATAGCATGAAAGTGTTGAAAGTGGCGGTAAATATAAATCAACAAATTAATCAATCAATCATCCATACCGGTATAATTATGGCCTCTAAATCTATATCTTTATTCTCATAAAGTCAATGTATGACATCAGTACAGAGATAACAATAATAACTTTACAATATATACAAAACAAGAGAGAGAGGTTTCAAAAGTCTTTAGTCAGGAGGTATAAAAAATTTAAGATATATTTCTAATTCTCTTTCCAGATCTTCTGGTATAGTTCTGTTAAGTCCTGTAATATTTTTACTCACTAAGAATTTTTTTAAGTCAATTAAAAGTAAAGAAAATAGAGAAGGTGATAAGTTTACTCCTTGTCGAACACCATTGTCACAAGCAAGCAAAGTATTTCGAATTATAATTACTAGAAGATGCCAGCGAAAGCGCGGAACAATTGGGCAAGTGTTGAAACAAAGAGTGTGGACACAGTAATAAGGTGGACACAGTAAGGATTTTGACACGTTTAATGCATTTAATTCTTTTTCTTTAAAGAGACGAAAACGAGGAACATAATGCAAAAGACGGGCATCACCCCATTCATCTCTGTTGGAAAATAAAAATATCAAATACCCTAAATTGAAAAAAGTGTGGTAAAGTGTGATTTTCAGTGGTTTTTTTTTCCTTTTAACTAAATCACCGTATGAACTACGTAAAATTCTTTGACATTACCGAAAAGGATCAAAATGAGTACACAATGAAAAAAATCCCATCTAATCGGATGAAAAATAAAATCCAAAACACTTCACCAGGAATCAACCCCTCTGTATCTCAGAAACCGTTGACGCCACTCCAAATCTGTTGTCATACTCAAGTTGCAGAATTTTATTAGCAATTAAAAAAATCTCCATTAAAATAAGTTGATATAAACAATCTGTATTTACAAATATGTGAACATTACCCAACCTGACCATTTCGCATTTCGCGGGCAGTACGTGGACTAAGCATGCGGTCTCCAAATTTGGATATTTTGGCTTTTTTTTGTGGAAAAAAGATTGTTTCAAAGACAAATTAAGGAAGTACAAAACACTTCATGTATACGTCATATCACAAATATTTCCGACTTTGTATGGTTTTGTAGGAGCAACACTACATTATACATCTTACCATTTATATTATTCAATAACATTTTATAAAACAAACCATCTCGCCATATTATGCACGAGTAGATAATTTTATAGCTATTGTTGTGAAATATTTTTAAAACTGACTGTGAGTTCAATGGTGCATTTTGCAATGAATAGAAATAAGAAGATGTGGTATGAGAGCCAATGAGAAAACTCTCCATCCAAGTCATAATTTGTAAGAGTAAACAATCATAGGTCAAAGTACGACCTTCAACACGTAGCATTTGCTTAACCCAAATAGCAAGCTATAAAGAGCCTCAAAATTTGTTTTATCATATTTTCGCCACAGCCGCAAATTTCTCCAATTAGCTCCTGTATTAATTGATATTTATCTCCCTCCGAAATGTTTGAAACGTTGATTTTGTTAAATTGCATTGTCTCATTTTTCCTATTCCTACATATTTGAGCTGGGTTTATAGTTTACAGAAGCAGATCGGAATCAGTTATGACGTAGACAGTAATCATTCTAATCGTAATCATGTTCATTGACCATAACGACGATGAAAGCACATCATATAATGATGTTTCGACATCATATAATGAAGTAAACCAAACCACATCATATAAGATTATAAGCACATAATATAATGACACATCCACATCATATAAAGATATTTGCACATAATATAATGGTAACTGCACATCATACAATGATATGTACACATCATATAAGTATATCTGCACATCATATAAGTATATTTGCACATCATATAAGGATCTTTGCACATAATATAAGTACATTTGCACATCATATAAGTATATTTGCACATCATATAAGTATATAAGCACATCATATAAGTATATATGCACATCATATAAGTATATATGCACATCATATAAGTATGTTTGCACATCATATAATGATGTTTGCACATCATATAAGGATGTTTGCACATCATATAAGGATGTTTGCACATCATATAAAGGTGTTTGCACATCATATAATGACAAGTGCACATCATATAAAGGTAAATGCACATCATATAATGAAAATGGTCATAACAAGACAGTGTTGGCGTTCCATACTTTTGTCAAGAAATTGTAAAGCCTAAAGGAAATACAAATCGAGATCGCTATCATGACTATAAACACAGCACCCAAGCTGAGTTCAACTTCAAGCAGATACAAACATACATTGGGTAGTGTTGTATTATTATATTTTATGCTATAACCTCAACATGCTCAATGGAATTAAAACTAAGTATGGACGATACGATACGCTCTTTATAGGGTATTGACTTTAGTCTTTACGTCCCATGGACAATGTGGCGGTATGGCCGACATATCCTACATGTATGGACGTAATGGAAATGTGGCCGGCGCGTCTCGAAAGCATTCGTGAAGACAATTTAAGACTGATATCTTCCTGCTTTTATATCCATTTAACATGTGAATGACAAATTATTTTTACCTTTCTTTGTGCTTTCCAAGTCAACCATCAAAACAAAAACACTTTCGTTGCGTTGACTTTCATTTGTATCGTTCCTCGCCTCGGTTTCTCCCAGTTAATCGACAAGTCATCTATTTCAATTTATTTCTATATCGGTTTGACCATCAGTTTGAACAACCAGAGTTCTTTATATCATATATCTCTGACTCTGTCCATTCTTTGTCTTACAGTAAAAATTGAAACCTCCATCATCAGCAGGGGAAATCATATTTACACTATAAATTCATTTATTTTACATTTCTTTTCACCGGCTGTCAGTAATAAATAAATACTCATGCTGAGGACTGTGACATGACATTTCTTATGTGGGATTAACTTGGGGGGATATGGAAAAACAAGTCGTGGGATTTGAGATATGATCCCCTCCGTTTTCAACCCCCTCCTCTGCTGTCGCATGCCATGAATCTGTTACTGAAATGCATGCCGCCGCATTTGCTACGACGTTCAGACACTGACCTTATTAACACAAAAAAACTATTCTATTATATAACATATAGTAACATGACATTTTTATTAAACGACATATTGCATTTCCCACACCCAACCAATTTTTAAAGGCAACAGACATTGTTAAAGAAATAACACTAATGCTGTGACCAATTCCCCACAAAAAAGGGGAAAATAGAATGATGAATGCCTTATAAGGCAAATTTATATTCAATTGTACACTATTTTTTATGCCTAGAGTTTCATGATATATCCTCTGGGTTCTTGATAGGTATAAAGTCAAAAATGTCAGGTTGCCATCTAAACATTGCGGAATTTTACCGAGATTTGAAAGTCTGAGGTAGAGGTGGGCTTCCGGTGAACCTCGATCTGTAGTACCTATGCATCCATGAAAAGAAATAGAGAATGTGGTGCTCAATTAAATCATTGCTATCAGTGTAGAAGTTTCAAACACACTTTTACCATAAAAAGAGACCTTAGACTGAGGACTACTCTTATCAGAGAAGAAATAAAATGCAATAGTGTGTAATAAAAAGCATAGGAATATGTTTGGATACATAGTTGTCGAAAGTACTGTAAGTTTTACTGCCCGGAAGGTCTATGGTTCTCTCCATATTCCTCTGTCATCAAAAAAACTTACTACTACGAAATAACCAATATTGTTGAAAGTGGCGTTAATCAATCAATCTTGGACACATAGGTGTCATTTAAGCCAATTTTACTAAGAATCACAAGTCCTTCCGTAGTTATAAGTTAGGAAATATCCTAAATTATCCTACTGCCGTGCTTTTAAATTCCATACTCTTCAAGGTTCTGTACAAATACTAGCCACTGCTACATTATCAGCATGATCGATCCTTGAAATGGCTAAATCTTGGACTTTATCTATAAGTCTAAGGTTAAACAAGATATTTTAATTGTAAAATTTTCAACTCATGAACTATGAAAATACTTGCAACACTGATTTCCTATATTCGGTGGAAAACCCACCATGCAGAACTTATATGTTCACATGTTTGTCAATATATATGGCGAATCAAATCAAATCAAAGTTTTATTTATTTTAATACTTTGCAATCATACTAAAAACTAATTTGCCACATGTTGAGCAGGAACTGTTTACCTTTCCAGAGTATATGTGTTCACCCATCTATTTTGGGGGTTCGTTTTGCACAATCTTCAGTTTTCTATAGTTATTGTTGTTTTTCATCTTTATCTTTTGGCTCTTCTCGTTTTATTAGACTAATGGTTATAAATTACCACTTTAATTGGTATCCTCTTTCGAATTAACAGTTCACAAAAGCCCTGTACCTGTATCTTTCCCAAAATATTTTTTTTTCACACATAGACTGGAGAAATCTGTCCAAAGTTTCATATATACTAGGAAAAAAAACCCGGTTGAGTGCGGGTTGAAGACTACTTGAAATGTGTATGGTGATAACACAGCTTGGGTTCATGTTTCCCAAACTGGTTTTATGCACTGATGCATTATGTTGATGGTTTTGATTAGTTTGTAAGTTGTTCTTCCATAGAACTCTCTGATGATTTTAAACATTTCCTCAGTGGTGCGAGTTCTGTCTCTGTGTGACACGGATGCTGTGAGAAAGGAGGAATTTACTAAGAGAAGAAGAAAACAATTTAATGAGTAAACACATTTTTTCGAGTTTGTTATATTTCTTTTTTTAATGGTGGTATTTGGATAAAGTGATGCAAGTTATAAAGAGAAATTGGGAAGGACATTTATTCCACATACGAAATTTGAAAGAAGTATAATTATTAAAGAGGTGTCTAAATTATGACATCACATGCATATGACGATACTTGGTTGCTATTGCCAGACTGTCAAACTCCCAAGACTTACAATTGTTCTAGTAGCATGATTTGGCGGATTGGAGGGACATTAGATTGGCAGGTATAACGGTAAACCTATCACAACCCATCAAATTTTGCATCAAAATACAAGTAAAATAGAAACAGTTTATATCCTTTGCTTTAAAATCACACTAAAAAAGAAGAAAGGCATATTATGATGGTTATATAAATAGATTGTAAATTGTTACCCCTTAATATTAGTAATATAAAGATATTAAGACATGTTTATCGGGTATTACTCAAAACATACGTTCACAGCCTGTTTTCAAACATATGTTAACCAGGTGTTACTCAAAACATGCGTTTACCAGGTGTTTTTCAAAACATATAATTACCACATGTTTTCAAACGCATGTTTACCAGGTGTTTCTTAAAACATATGGTAAACATGTGGTCAAACGTATGTTTCTCATGCGTTTTGTAAACATGTGTTTCACATGCGTTCATCAACGCATGTTTACCACATGTTTTTCAAACATATGGGAAACGCATGGTTTCAAACACATGTTTACCACCTGTTACTCAAAACACATGGTAAACATATGGTGAAACGCATGTTTACCATACGTTTGCAAAAACACCTGGTAAACATGCGTTGCATTTTTTGCTGTGTAAATTAGGTAAATTTACAACTCTTCAAGTTGAAGTTGGCAGTCTAACTAGTTGTAGTTCAGATCTTACAAAAAAGGCACGAAAAGTTTAAACTTCCAGTTAGAGTGTCTTGCAACCTTTTTGAAACATTGGTCAAGCCTATACTAACATATATTAGTGAAATATGTTATATGGACACTTATATTCAATTTTATAGAGCTAAACTGCGAGCTAACAAAAACAGCTCAACACCAGATGTTATTCATTTTATTGATAACACTATCTTAGAAAAAAAAACAGCTAAATTTTGTTAAACAAGTACTGGGGACAAAAAGAAGCTCAACAAATCTAGAAATGAACAAGGACTTCTGCCATTAGAAACTTTTATAAAAACCCAAACTATGATGTACCTATCTAGATAAAATAATGAAAATCTAAACCCACTTCTAAATGGAGCCTTTAAATTAACTAAAAATATAGATACTAAAGGAACATACTCTTGGTATACTTTTGCAAAAAAATGTGTCACAAGAAATTGATATTGACATCAAACTTATTGAAGCAACTAAATCTTTAAAACAAACTACAAAGTTAAAACCCCAATTAAAAAAGGTTATATTAACTATTATCAAACCCTTATTGATGATAAAATAAATAACTTGAATGAAAATAATAAAATATATCTATATAAATTTATTTAATCTAATATAAATGACCAAATGGAATACTACCTATCACATCCAAATAAAGAAACAAGAAAAATGTTAACCAAATTTAGAATAAGCGACCATTGTCTTTTAATAGAAACTGGACGATATACAAAAATACCAAGAAACGAAAGAAAATGTAAAAATATGTAATATCTTAGATGATGAATTCCATTTGTTCTTCAACTGTAAAATAAAAAAAAAGAAAATAAAAATCTTTCTAACATATTATATACAAAAATATGTCAATTTTAATACACTTAACTTAACTGATGAACTCGTGATTATACTAAATCCATCAACACCAAATATGACGGACATTGTAGCCTACGTAGAAGACATTTCCCTGTGAAAAAAACCGTTTGGATTTGAATCACAGGTTGGAATGGACAAATACACTATAACATCGCATTTTTATGCATTTACGAAATAATTGGAAAAAAAAAACAGAAATCCGTGAATTCTTGGCGTCTGCTGGTTAATAATAACTATGCAAAGTTAACCTTCAAGCCTTAAAAACACTCATAAAAATATCATAATGTTCGTTTTACCCTCTAAATTCGTCTTACGCTAACAAAATATGAATGTATAGCATCAGCTTTTTCATATTTTCAAATTTCACTATGGCTACATTTTTAAAGCTAACACAAAAAATTAAATTAAACTGCGTAAAGCAAACAAAGATCAAATACGATGATAAATATAATACAGTTACAATGTATGTCTTGGCTTATTCATGGAGGTCAGGAGTGTTTATTGTTGACGGCTGTATTCTAATTTTTGACATTTTTATCTAATATGTCTGTTTCATTTGCTCACACATTGTTGTCAATAAAAATGGAACTCTATGCGACTGTCAAATAAGTGAGAGGTTTAGCTAGCTATAAATCCAGGTTTAATCCACCATTTTTGACATAAGAAATGGCATGATGTACCATGTCAGGAATAACCTAAATGACAGTTGTTTTCCTTGCGTTTGATGTGTTTGAGCTTTTAACTTTCCTATTTGATAAGATACCGTTTTAAATTTTCCTTGGAGTTTAAAATATTTATTTACTTTTTACACGCAGCTGCTACACATGGAACATATTAGAAGACATATGGAACATATTAGAAGAACATGTGTGAATAAAATTCTACGATTATTCACCTCTCATTTGTCGAGTTATATGTGGAAACTGTTACAAATCAATTGTAGAAACTGTGAATCGCCCCCTTTATCTAAGAATAAAAGTTCAAAATTAATATTTTAAAGTCACTGTCTATAAAAATACATGGTTCCTAAAAGGTCAAATGTTTTATCATGGATAGAGCTATTTTCCTAGTGCTTGTAGTTTTAAGGTTTGGTTGGCTTGCTGGCTTTGTTTATATCAATGTTTTATTCGAGTATTGTAATTACGATTGACATCTGCTATCAAGAAATATGTGAGGCTACAACGTTTTTATATTCAACAACAAATGACAATTAAGTATAATATATACAAGCTGAAGCCCCGCCTATACATCTAATTATTGCAGATTTCAATCTTAATTACAATGCTTGAGCAGACATTTATACAAACAAAGCAAGAAT